GCGGCTGGGGGCGGAGGCAGGACCTCCTGTACCTTCCCTCCTCGCCTCTCACTCTGACAGCGCCGAGGTGCGCCAAGCAGAAGCAGGGAACAAAGGAGCAGCGTGGGGAGGGGAGCGAGTTTGGCGAGGAAGAGCCCCCGGTCCGCTGCCAGAAGATCCCGGCAGGAGGAAGCCCAAGTGTCACTTGAATTCCACCCAAGAAGCGGACGCCTGGGATCCGACCGCCTCGTTTAGCAGTAACGGCTGGAGCGTGTCCCATAAGTTACCGGAGAGTCGGCCCGTAAGGAGGAAAATCGCTCGCCTCCTGCGCCCCTGTTCTTGGCCCCCCCGAGACCCCAGCATTGCCTCGCGCTGGAAGGGGAGCTCCAGAATGAAAAGCAAGAAAGGTAAGGCTCCGCGGCTGTCGCCCAGTGGGCAGGAGTCCCGGGGAAACGTGCTCGCCAGGCCGCGCAGAGCTGGGGCGAGAGTGACTTGGTGGACTTCCCAGCCCGGGGGCTCTCGGGCTGAAACCGCGGCCGTTCTCTTTGTTGAGGCTGCGTCTGAAATGGCAGTTACCGTTTTCTTTCTAGACACAACACGAGGGGCTGCTGTGGGGAGACGGGCCTCTCCATGCTGCTGGCACGTTGTCAAGAAACACGCTCACCGCCTTGTTTGTGCGCTTCCAAGTTTCATTGTCTCAGCCGACACCCCACGCTCCGCTGAGCCGCCGCGTGGCTTCTCGTTCTTTCTCGCGCGCGTGGGGTGTGGGTCCGAGTCAGAAGGACCTGCGCCTCGCTTTTTCTTCGTCGGGACCCCAGGCGCGCCTTTGTCTGAAAGTTGGGCTCCGGGACCCCCACTCCCTCCCAGGGGGGCCCGGTCACTTTCTTCTCTGGGTATGGGGTGTTCTCACAATCGAAGGAATGCGACTCTGTCCCCCCTCCCCGCGCCAACGATCGTCCTCGGGTGTTGGAAACTTCGTAAAACTAGACTTTAAAAAAGTCCCGGCCTCTGAAAGTTTTCCCACGAAGAATTTAGGGCGAGATGAAGAGTTAAGAGAGAGGGCAAGCACCTTAAAGTGGCGTGCGGTCTGAATGGGCCCAAGTATGACAAGCAGGCTCGGTTGTAAGTGTAAAGGGTGAGCCTGTCATTGTTTCCACGAAGCGTTCTGGAAGCCTTGCAACTAAAACTTGCCGTCAGTCTGGTTCAAAAACAAAATACTCAGGGGAAAAAAACACCGCCACTAAAGGTCAAAGAATAACTCCCTTTTGAAGTGAACTTTTGAGTCTCTGACGGGGAGGTATCCCGAATGTTCCGTCGTGGGCCGCGGCCGCAGTTGGCTTTTCTGTTGTGATTTATGTGAAGTGGTTCAAAACAGAAGTTAATCACTCAGGGAAGCCAGCGCGGGGCCGGGGGAGAGGCTGCTGCGCACGCGCAGGAGTCCCTCCGAGTTTTTGTAGCTCCGCATTCTTTCAGACTCGTCCAGCGAATAAAGTTAGAGTGTGGCAGTCTCAAACCCAAGACGATGTCCCTGGCCCCATTTTCACCTTGGGGTGCTGGTCAAGTCTTGGCTGGTGACTTTGAAACACGCCTCACCTCATGCTTTCCCAGCAAGAGTAAAATTAAATGTCAAAACCCGGGCTTTCGTAGTAGTTGGTAGTAGCACTCCGTGTGGGACCTCCTCCCCAAGGGACAGTGAGAAGGCGAGGGCTTAGAGGGTTGGACGTGTAACTGGGCTCGGGGACAAGACGCGCGGGTAGCGCCCAGGGTGTCCCCTGGAAGGCCGTGTCTGCTTGTGAAGGGCTGTTAGGTCTCTATCTGGAGTAGAAGGCAGGCGCTCTCTCCCTCTGGAACGGACTGGGATGAGTTGGGTTTGTTTTTGAAGAGTGGTTCTTGTGAGCCAAAGCAAAGCTGGGCTTCCGCCAGGGGCGGGCTCCCCCATTGTTCGGGCTCTGGTGGGGGAGGCGTTGATTTTATTCCCCGCCCCCCCACCTCCTTAGGCACTCCCGGGCACTTAAAGCCCGCCGTCCCCACTTGGGTGCCTTCCCCAGGCTCCCCACCACACAAACTCTCAGGTTCCCCTCAGGAGC